TTCCTTCGTTGTGTTCTGTCTTGTGCTTTTTTATTTTGCTTGCTCCAGTCTATCTTTTCGGTCATTGTATAAAATAATGATAATTTATCAATCACTGTCTCCATCCAGACGAGCAGTAAGCATTCAACCCATCGCCTATGTCCCTGCTACCTGGTTCATCGATGTCATTGCTAAAAACACTTCAAAACTTTAAGGAGAGGTTAGGAAAACCTTCTAAAAAGCGACGCAAATTAGGCGAGGATGAAGACGACTGGTGTGATGCCCTAAACCATTTGTCAGTGGACAGCGATAGCGATGTCGATGAAAAATACTTTGATGCACCAGAAAATTTCGTTAATGAACCAGAGCAACAATTCACCAGTGAATTACCCCCTAAAGGGAAAAAGAGAAAAAAACCGTTTAAAAATACATCACCGAAAACGAGTGATATGAATCCATTTCAACACACATCGTCCTCATCAAGAGGTAGGAGAACCAATGAGGGAGTAACTACACAACGACCACGTCAGGTGAGCCATGCCCTGTATTTGAGTGGCATATTTTATTTTGGAATAATGCGGGTTTTTTAAAATAATATTAATATTACTAATACTAATACGATTGCTATTAATAGATGTGTTGTGGTCGAGTGGATATGTCGCCGGACTGTCGATCGCAAGGTCCGCGGTTCGAGTCCCGCCGCGGCACTAATGTCATTTGGCAAGACATTGATCTACGTTTGCCACACTCAACCCTGGTGATGTAAATGGGTACCTGGCTATAGTTTGATGACTTGAGTTAATTCCATTTAATTAATGATACATATTGTTTCATGTCAGTTAAATAGCTCCTGAACCAACTAAGAGCGATGCCTCTGACTCCATAATATGCCAATTTACTAATTAAAATTTCATGATCAAACGCCTTTGAGAAATCCAAGAGTATGCCTATTGTGTGAAGGTGATCATTTAACGCTTCAGATAATTTATCAATAAAATGTAAGATAACATGCGTAGTAAGTATGTTTTTCACGAAAACTAAACTGGAATTTTGAAAATATTTTGGTCTTATTCAAAAATGTTACTGTTCTATCATATAATTATCAGCTTTTCTAAAATTTTGGGAAAAGATGTCAATAATGAAATGGGTCTATAATTACTTAATGTTGAGGATCACCCTTTTAAAAAATTGGCACTACCTTAGCAATGTTCATTCGTTTTGGTACAATGCCAGATAAGAAAGATAAGTTAAAAATATAGAAAAGCGTTATTACAATTCCATGTATCCTTATTATTAACTCATTTGTTATGCCATAAAAACCAGGGCTCTTTACTTTTGATTTGATTTGATTTATTGGTTTCTGCATCTTCTTTCTCTTTTTTAATCACACATTTTCATGAATATAATATGGTTTGATACAGTGTTTAAAGTGTATATAAATTTATACAGATAATAAACAAATATATTGAATGCATAATTAACATACATTAGATGCAGGAGAGCTACAGAAATAAGCAAAGTAGCTTGACATGCCCGCAGCCCCCAACTTAAATACAATAATTAAAAAAATTAAAAAATAAATAAAAAAAGAGTGACTTGCGGAGAATAAAGGGAAAGGGGAGAGAAGGAGCGTTGGTAATAATACAATAAATCTCATACAACTGCTGATTGAATGCAGGTTCATCCATGGATGGATAAACGGTGCTAGGTCATGGACGATACACATTAGGGACTTTTAGATTGAGTGGACGAGAACACGACGAACGCCGACCAATCATGCGTGTCAACGTACTTAACTGCCCATATTGGCTACAATTGGAAATCTTTTAGATTGCACTCGACGATATGCATGCAGGAAGTAACACAATAAACATCACGGACAAAGAAAGAGGACAAATTCTACCCTCAACTAAAGAACATCCCTTCACTGCTAATATGTAAATATGTGTAGAACAGGTGAATATGCATGTGACACCTGTTTTACACATTTTTACATAATAACAGGAAAAGGGATGTTCCTTTGTCTACCTGAGGAACTGTATATTTTATGCGCACGCGGCATACTAGTACCTTTCAGCATGTAAAGGCGCTATATAAATGTAGATTTAGGAAAATTAAGGTTAACGCATTCCCGATCGCCGACTGAGACGACATAACGCTTGCGCAGTGCCTTAAAATGACGTCACACGTTGCAGTCAAAGCTGTCGACGTGCAAATCTAAAAGTCCCTATTATTGTTGAATGAACAGTCAATGTACACACGAAAATGAATACATTAGAATTACACACGACAGGATCAATATTTAGACAATAACATAGTTTAACCGCCTTCTTAAAAGAATACAATGTCCTAAGGTTTCTTATTACAATGGGCAGAGAGTTCCAGATGTCTGGGCCGGTGTGTCTAATGGATTTGAGAGCCAATGCGGTTTTTGGATATCTTAAAGGTGAAATTCAAAGAAAATCACAAATATGCCAACTAATGTATCACTAGAAACTGGTAAGTTAACAGATGGCCATCGTACAAGTTATAGGTCAACTACATATCGGGGGATTTATAAAAATACAAATACAACCACCTCCGTAGCAGCTGGGATATACGAGAGAATCGCCGGAAAAATAACGATGTTTAATGACGTCACTATATGGACCAACACTGCCCAAGCAGACGACATCCCATAGAGAATGAACATAATTGCAAAGCTATTATTTCTCCAATTATAATGAGTTTAGTGTATATAAATGTAATGGCATGTCAAACCATTCAAAAGGGGATATGACCCGATCCTGATAACTAACATCTTTTGCTTGTAAATACACAGGATAGGGGTTAATTAACAATCAAAGAAACCAGACTTTCAAATTGAAAACCCCCGGAATGCTATTAAGGACGGCATTTGTTCCATCTTGAAACGCCGAACATACCCCGGTGTGTGCAGCTGAATATACAATGGCGTCTTATTTTGCTTACAAGCGACATATTCCATTATTTTTGTATCGCTGCATTTGTCATCAAAATAAAACCATGCGCGGGGTTTAGAGTGAGGCAATAGATTATACATTTAGCCTGACGGTAGTGAAGTAAGTAAGAGAAAGAACTCAAAGAAGATGAAAACACAGGCACTGAAAATGCGTGAGATGTCATGGGGCATCGTCTGCTTGTGCAAGTCATGTCCATACTGTGATATCACACATCTTAGCAGCGTTCGGAGAGCTCTTCAGGTGCTATGCCGGGGCTGTATTTAAGCGTTTTGTAATTTATAATAATCATTACTTCGAATGTTTCCAAGCATTGAATTTTGATAACCTTGTCGAATCACAGTTTCAACTTTGCAATAATGAAAATAAAGTTAGTTTTTAAAATCAACGAATATCTACTTTAAATGGAATTTTTCAGTTTGCCTTGTAGGGTAAGAGTGGATGGTTGAATTCAAATTAAACGATGGGGGAAAGTATGAAGGTAGTAGACCATTGTGTAAGCGAAACATGAAAAGTGCTATTTGTAGAATATTTAGAGTTTTTAGTTTTGAAAACAAGGGATAGGAAGAATCAGTACATATAAGCATGGCTTTCTTTTGTAGCGAGTTCACAAGTTTAAGCAGTTCTGCTTCATTCATGGGCATCAAAAATAGGCTACCTTGCATAAAATCAAAAAAGTTCTTCTGACATCTAGGGATAGATCTTCTACGGAACAACCATTCACATTTATACAATTAATATTTGAAGTTTTTAAAGGTGATTTAAAAATACTTCTAATTACTTTCCATGTATTTTTAATTTCATTAAATGTCATTTTAAATCGAGCAGAATAATATTGATTCTTTGCAGTACGTAATACAAAGGTAAGAGTATTTCTATCATTAGAATACTTTCTCCACATAAAATCTGAGCTTCTCCTTTTATATTGATAATACAACTTGTTTTTCTTAGTATTATAGACTTTAATATTGATTTAGTTATCCAAGGCATACGACGAACTTTATTATAGTTTTTCTTTTTGTATTCACTATTCAACCACTGGGACATTCCCATCATACAACAACTTGAATGTATTAAAGAAATTTTCAAAAGCGCTTTCAACATTTTGATCTGAAAAAACATCATTCCAATCAGTTGCTATTAATGCTTCTCTCAATTTGGCAATATTTTCAGGAGTACCTTTGCGTACATATTTCCCTGCCTCTGGATTTACGATTCAATTTCCCCAAAGACAACCTACAATACACAGGATAATGATCAGATACATCAGATACTATAATTCCAGAGGGTGGATATGATTGTACATTACAGAAAATATTGTCAATTAAATTACTGGAAACTTCTGTAATTCTTGTTGGCTTATTGATAAGGGGCAATAAGGAGAAAGACATTAACATATTTAGAAAAACATCAATTCGATTATCATTATTACAAAGTAATAGATTTGCATTATAGTCTCCCATAAGATATATTTACTTTCCTACTAAAAGTGGATTTTCTAGAATTGACTGGAATTCAATTACAAAATCATTAAAGTTACTATTTGGAGGCCTGTATACAACACCTATAATATGATTCTTTTGATCGGGGCTATCAATCTCAACAAAAACAGTTTCTATTTGGTCCGACATTGTACTAAGGTCATGATATATATGGAATTCTACTTGGGAAGGGATGTACAAAGCAACACCTACTCCACGTCTGCTTGGTCTATTGTTGTTCACAAGATTAAAACCAGAAATAGATAAAAAGGTTCCTATCAGCTTCACTTGTAAACCATGTCTCAGTGACACCTAGTGTTACCAGTCCTGAAGTAATATTATCAATGAATCTTAATTGTTACATGTTAGAGCACTTTGTAGATACCTGGTGAAAGAAGGATCATCAGAGCTTTGGATGAGTTTCTCTTTTGGGATAAAATATTTGATAAGTAGTTCAAACTCACATTTTTATTTTTATTTGTTTCATTTTCAGAGTCCTCCACGACATTCGAACAGCGGCGGTTTTCGATTTGGCCCGAAAAATTCTAGCTTTTCCCCTCCGATGGAAACAGAACCATACCATTTTGCTGCTGGAGGATCCAACACTGCAACTTCATCCTCTTCAGAAGCGGGCGTTCAGGTTGGTCTCAAACGGTTGACAACCATCCATGACCCGCCCCAGGAACACCCTATGAAGGGTAACACAGGTATAGGTATGAAAGTTATCTTGTTTAAAAGTTATATTTTCTTCTCAATATAAAATTCTTTACCTCCAAAACGTTCAGCTGTTCAGCCACAGCCTTTGTCAGCGAGGTGGCCCGACTTGACGTTCTTGACGTGATGGACAATGAACTTATTAGTTCCCTCAATAAATACGAGAGACACATTCCTGGATGCTCATGACCTGAATAATATAACTTTAGGCCTATATGTATTTATAAAATAAATTACCGATAGACAAATGCAACAAAATTAAACGACACTGAAATCGGAAAAATTGTTTCCTTTATCTTCATTTCTAACGCATCAAATTATGGATTGGTACTAACTTACTTTAATTTAATTAATTTTCTTTGTTCCATCATTCAATTTGCTTCACATGCCGTATATGTAAGATTTTGCAGCTATTTGCAGAGGCGGATCCGGGATTTTGTTAAAGGGCAGGGGCATATAATGACGACAATTTTTGTTTAAAGCAAGAAAAAAAGGGGCAAAATAAAGACAAATTAAATTAAATTAAATATTAGCACTTTTGAGATGCCTCTGGGGTCTAGAATTTAGGGGCAAAAGCAAAACTGAGAGGACAAGGTTTTCCTGCGTGTTCGTAAAATATTTCATAGTGGTTTTACAAAGAGGGCATAGGCCGCTCAGCCCTATTGCCTCTCCCGTTTATTTTTAAAGCAGTAAATGTATATTATTTTACAGATAGTCATATTTTCTTATTATTCAAGGTGGAATATCCGACAGCAGCCTTGAAAAGCTGACCAAGGCTCTTATGGTTGATGATTATAGTGCTCGTTCGCTAGGTTTGGAACTCGGATTCATCCGCACAGAAGTCTATCAGTATTGTGGATATGGTAAACCTAAAGAAAGTTCTGGAATCTTGCGCATGTTACGGGCCTGGAAACGCAAAACCCCTGAGGCAAACGAGACATCTGGTTTACTGGAGGCGCTAAAGAAAGCAAACCTGAAACACCTGGCAGATGACTTACAAGAAGGTATTAAATTTATATAGTTATCTTCTTTCTGCCGCTTAGATAACCATAAACATGATCGAATAGGTCATTAAACAAATCTACCCAAGGCAATTTCAACATCCTTGTGCGTCACCTATTGAACTTAATGTACAAGGATGACAATCACATATTAGTGAGAACATGATTTCTATAGGCATCACAGAGTAATCGATAAGTATTGATAACTTGCATAAGGTTTTTTAAGTAGTTCTAACTCCGAAGTTAATCACCTTTTTTATAATTCGAATTGTACCGGTTATCCTTTCGACCGGAATGATCTTTCAGCTCCTAGCACTTCCACTACGAAGAAAACAGAACCAGTTAGTTACGGACGATCCAACACTGCACCTTCATCCTCTTCAGAAGCGGACGTTCAGGTTGGTCGAAAACAGTCGGCAACCATCGATGACCAGCCCCCGCTACAAAACCCCATGAAGGATTACACAGATAAAGGTATAATAGTTATCTCGTTTGAAAGTTAACATTTCTTCTCAATATTAAATTATTTAGCCACAGCCTTTGTTAGCAATTTGATCCGACTTGACGTTTCTGACGTAATAGACAATAGTCTTGTTCAGACGGAGAAAAGTTACCCTAGGGTAAAGGTCGTGTTTAAGAGCTAGTCGAGGTAAATATGGCGGGGTATATGGCGGGCCGAGCATGCTACTATCCGTACAACTATACCTTTATCCAGCCGGCCAATCAGAACGAAGGAGACTGTACATGTATACAACTATATCAGTGGCGGATTCAGGGGGCACATGGGGCACGTCCCCGTCCCCCCCCCCCCCCCCCCCTCCCCTGGTAAAAAAAAGGGGAAGGGGGAAAAGAAAAGGGAAAACAGGAGAAAAAGGAGGGGTAAAGATAAAGGAGGGGAAAAGAAAGAAAATGGAAGAGAGAAAGATGAAGAAGAGAGGGAGGAGATAAAAGGGAAGAGGAGAAAAAAGAGGGGGAAAGGAAGAAAGGGGGAAAGACGGAGAAGAGAAAAGGGGGAAAGGAGAATAATGAGAAGGGGGAAAAATAAAGGGGGTGATATTATAAGAAGGTGTTTTTTTTACCGATTTATTCTCATCAGATGAAGTGAGCATTTCATGGTTTTACATGGTACACAGACAAGTATAAGTTGTACCCATCGTCTTCAAGATGACTATGTATGTGTGTAACTTTGGTTTTTACGGTCATGTATCAATCATATATTTATTTACGTCTGTGGACCGACCTTAAACGTCATCAACCGAAATTAAGACGTGACTCAAGTGACTTGAGTCCGCTTGGTCAGTTCGTAGGCGAAGACAGAGAGCTGACCATACCACGGACCAATTCACACCTCCCCTGTAGATATGCTTTTTGTTGTTGTATTCAGAGTTAATTGGCAATCAGTCAAATTTGACTATTATGACAAATTAATTGACCCCTCTCTTTTATCATAACTGTTTTCAATTGGCATGGTGTCCCTGCATTTTTTTCAGGTATTGTTTTTAAAATAATTATTATCATGCCAGTTCACCACATCCTGTCCTTTCTTATTCGGCACCATCTTCGCATGATGGTATGATACGAGGGTTTCTCGGAAACAAAACAAATTGAAATACAGTTGCGGAACAGGGAGGCTCCATTTGGGATACCTTTACCTGATAATGAAAGGAAATGAACTTGGGTTTGAACTGAAAGTAAATCTTTCCCGAGAAAATTGGTTCCACTGTCTTACACATATTTATTTAAAAGAAAACGAAAATGTAATATACACCGAGCAATGATAAGCAACAATATGGGCCTATGATTTAAAAAATCAAAACGGAAACAAAAAACATATTTACAAATTATTTGAATAATGGGGCACGTATTCATGATATGCCCCGATACTATAGACCTTTGTCGTACTTTATATACAGATTATATTTACACATGGGGAATGTAAAAGTTTTACCTAAATTGTTGGATATGACTTTTACATACCTTGGGTATGATCCACTGTAACAGTCACATGGTTAAATTTCTGACTGGTGCCAAAGGCTGGATCCTTATTGGTAAAGATCGGCTATTCGTGAGATTGGTCAGAGATGGCCGCCTGGAGGCAGCAGTGCTTTGTAAAGTATAGTATGCCAGATGTTGCTGATCTGAAGGCCACTGTCCTGAGGACCAGTGTTGTGTTGGTGGATCTCCAGTGCTTCCTGAATCTTCGTGTATGTGTTTGATAGAGGTGCAGGCACGTAGCCAAAGTTTGATGTTTTTTTGTTGTTGTTTTTTTTTTTGGGGGGGGGCACATACATGTAAGGCCTGTCGTTCCTTAAAGTCACATAGAAGTCAGCTCTCATGGGGAATTCGACACCGCTCGGGTGTTTACCCAATAACAGGTGTTGTCAATCACCAGGGTTAGCCTCGAGTTTTATATGACAATTAGACCTTATGTAATGCTTTGCTTTTCCTTCGCCCGAAGAATCTCCGAGCATGCTCCGAGAGACTAGGGGGTAATTCTTGATTGGCCAACGGGTTTGCTGTGTGCAGATTTGTACTGCCATTAATGGTATTTCCACCAAGTCTGGTGTCAGCGAATTACGGCCTTCTGCACATGGAAACTGACTACCTACTCCCTTTAAGCCTTGTGGTACAGGAACGGCCTGTCTCTCCAGTGTAGACATTACCGTATTAGCTGGGAATTTGATGGGCACGGCGATATTGGTTGGTTGGGTGCTTGCTGTTGAGGTGTTGAAGAAAGTCATCAACTTTATCAACCCCATTTGGCCATATCACAAAGGTATCGACCACGTACGTATCATAACCGCATCTTGGGCCTCAGGGTTGCTGACTGTTATGATGCCTGCTCGACATGTTCAATGCACAGCTTTGCTACTATGGGTAACAAGGGAGAACCCATAGCGTCTTCCGTCTTCTTGTAGAATAAATCTTTCTACGTAAAGATACTATGTCCCTTTTGCAGCCATCAAATTATAGAGAACTTTGAAGGAATTATGGATATGTCATGTGTGTCCTATCTGTGAAATTTAAACATTAGCAGTGTCTTAGTATTTAAATTATGCAAGGAAATACGTGTACCTTCTAGACTTCACTGTCAGACACTATTGAGTGACTGACTGACATCTTTTTTTCTTTGGTAATAACATACATGAAATGAGCTGTAACAGGCACACGAGCATTTGTCTACATCAATAACCCACTACTTGTAATGGCCAAAAGTAAACTGATTGAATCTTTTGTGCGGCACAAAACGTACGACCATTCGGTAAAAGGGTCTGAAAATCAGACTATTACTAGATGATTACAATCACTTAAGTCGATTCGACATCTAGTGGTCGTTATTTTCCCACTAAAAGCCATTTTCAAGCCCTTTTGTTTTGAGGGAAGTTCTATATTAGTATTGCCTTTCATATGCTGTTGGAATTAACCTTTTCATTTGTTGGGCCTGCAAATGGGACATAGTACCTTTAGAGGAAGTGAAGTTTAGGCACAATAAATCGGGTCGATTATCTGTTATGTGGAATTGTCTGTCCTGTTCTTGAGTTGAGTGCCTGCTAGGAAAAGTCATATTCCTGATCTGGTCAATAAGGTCGGTAGAGTTTACCACATGGTGTTCACAGTTGCCAAGAAGAAGTTTGAGAAGCAAAGCAAGGTGCTTGGCTAAGTCATAGATGGGTGAACCCCTAGTGGAAACTATTGGCCTTTAAGGAATCTCAGGTTTGTGGATCTTTAGTTTCCCGAAGGTACGGGGCACTTCGTAATTGGTGGTACAAGGTTTGGGACAAGAATTGCTTCTCTTTTAGGGAGAGGAGCATGTCATTAACTCTGCGTTCCAAGGCTGGCGTTGGGTCCCGAAGAAGTTTCCAGTATGTCCCACAGGCAAGAAGTGTTTTGATTTTGGACTCGTACTCCTTCCTGTCCACCACAACTGTGGCGTTAACCTCGTTTGAGGATGGAATTGTCATTGCTCAGAATTTTAATGGCTGAACGTTCGGCCTGGGCGGCTTGGCCAACGCCAGAGTATGGGTGATCTGAAGGCGGGTGGAGCTATCCCTAGTTTGGTTCAGGAGTTTGAGCCCTGTCTAAATGCGTTGAATGGTGTCTTTCTTATCAATTTTTCTCAGGCTACTGCAAAGTTCAATCCTTAGGATATAAAACTATTGTTCGTCCTGAGTAGCTGGCGCTTGCTCAAGTTGATTACAGTTTTGTTGCGAGTCAAATGTTGACAAGATCTGCGGTTAGACGGGGTTGAAAGGAGCAGCATATTGAAATTCTTCATTTCCCGTGACTTGGTAGTCTCAAAGGCAAAGTCAAAGGATCTTCTATTCAAACTTTCACCCTTTTTCCAGTCATCTTATGAAAAAGTCAACTTGATACCTGACTGGAGTTGATGAAGATGGCTGCGAATGTCTCGGATCCTTTCCCTGGTAATTTAGGGCAAATGAGGGATATCTAAGAATGCGTTCGGCTGCTCTAGATCGGACAGGTGTTCTGAAAAAGAGTCCTAGGGGTGTTGCACCCGAGTCCTGGCATCTTTTCAGAAAGGTCAGATGGTTGGTGGCCTTGGCTTATTTGGTAAGGCTCGAACATGTAATAATGCAGTTTAGCCATTACATAATCTTTGTACGAGCTGAAAGGGCCTTCTTCCTCGGCATAAAAGTGATGGAATTGGTACGAAAGTTGTGAAATATAGTTTCATATCTATCCATATAAGATGGATGATTCTGTTTATTATTTGAATAGATTTCTAATGGGTTCTAACTCCATATTTCCTACGTCACTCCATTTGATTATGTCTGTGTAGGCTCCATGTGAATGCGTTTAATATAATCTAGGATAGACTTCAGTGAGGTTTGCGGTTACACCGTGTATTATTTCTACAGGATTAGTCAAAATGGGGATAGGCAGCTAATCCTCCCCCCCCCCCCCTAGCAGAAAATAATAATAGTAATAATAATAATGAATAAATAGATAAAAATGGAAAATCCACTGCTGGCCTTACTTATATACAGGTCTGCAGAAACCTATAAGACTATCTTTTCATAAAGTTTTTTACTCGTTGTACTGATAAACAATGAGCCTTATTCCTCTTTCTTGTATTTTTAAGCAGTAAATATTAATGTGTACTATTTTACAGATCATCATATTTTCTTATTCAAGGTGGAATACCTGACAGCATACTTGAAAACCTGGCCAAGGCACTTGAGGGTAAGAGTTATCCAAATGCTAGTTCGCTAGGCCAGAAACTCGAATTCAGCCACGCAGAAAGAACTCAGTACTGTGGACGTGTTCAACTAAAACATAGTTCTGGAATCTTGCGTATGTTAGGGGCCTGGAAAAAAAATACCCCTGATGCAAAGCAGATGCCTGGTTTACTGGAGGCACTAAAGAAAGCGAACCTGAAACACCTGGCAGATCATTTGCACTCACAAGAAGGTATGCAGTTTATATAGTTATCTTCTTTCTGCCGCTTACATAACCATAAACATGATCGAATAGATAAAAAAAAAAATTAATCTACCCAAGGCAATTTCAATATTCTTGTGCGTCACCCATTGACAAAAATGTGCGAAGAGGATAATCAAATATTAAGCAGAACATTTAATTATGGTTAGAGTATTGAGATTGCCCTTTTCATTTATTTGTTGTACGCCTTTTTTTTTAATTTAAAATTTAGGCAAGTTTGAGAAGCGGAAGGTCAAAATAACCCTAATGACATCCTGGCACCTTTCCAGCGTAGAGGGTTTGAAGAAAAAGCTGATGACCTTGCAGAGGGCTCGTTCTGATCTCATAGAAGCCGTGAAGGTCCTCTCGCTCCCCTTCAGTGGGTTACAACGCTTCACATTCACTGAGGATGTTGATATCATGGTTCTCTGCCACTCTATCGTGAACAGGCGGTTCGGCATCACCAACGTAACAGACTCCCTCTACGATGAGTTCCTCGATTACTGTAACAAGACGCTTGGTGAGTTAATGAAAGGAAAGGTCGAGTTATAGTAAAGATGAATAAATAGTTCATTAGCTTTCTCATACTTTGTATATCAGTCATTTTAGTAAAATTGTCCCCTAAAAAGGATTGGTCGTCAAATGATCTCTGATACGAAATCTGACGAGAACTGTAGGTGAAAAGTTTGTACCGAACTTTCAAGCCTGATGTGTTTTCAAACCCATCCCGGAAACCCATATACCTATATCTGTGTGCAATGCATGTGGTTTTTAGCAAGAATGAGTCAATTTATTTCCATTTTGATCATTCAAGAACTTTACACTTTTACACTGTTGCCTACATAGTTGACACTGGTTCATACATTATTTCATTGAATTTGAAATGTTGATTTTTAGGATTTTGTTCTCTCGTTCTAAATTCCTGCTCTGAACGTAAGATTACCATGACTCTAAAACATAATAGTCTTTTTCACAATACATAATAAAATAAGTCTTGGCATATATTGGGGTACATCTCAAAGCTCAGCCTTATCAAGGTTCACTCCAATTGTGGTTCTTAGGAACTAAATTATTGTTAACGATGAGATCGATAATTTGAGCGGATGAAAGAATTGGAAAGGGTTATCAATATTGTATCACCAAAGGTAAAGATAATACTCATCACTATTGTTGCTGACAAGCTGAAGAAAGAGGTGGGATTCGATAAACTTTATGTGTGCCACGCAAATGATCTCCTAATTCCACAGTGTATTTTATATGCGATATGTTTACTAAAGTCTTCGAGATTATTTAAATATGTCCAGTGTAGAATAACTCTAAATAATGATGTCAAAAGGGTGTTCGTGTTGCCAATCGAGACCGGGCATTGTTTATTTTGCAAAATGTTGTGTTCCACACAGCAATCTTTCTGTTAATATTCGTAACATTTGTTTTGTGCCGATTGACGCGCATGGTAAACTAGCGACAGTGCAAATTGGTCCTGGTGGCGAATGAAAGGTTCAGTGTACGGTTTGTAGAGTAGATGTTATAGGAGTACGATTTGCCAATGGTTCTTGTCTTGTCCTATTGTGCCTTCTAGGAAAAGAAAGAATCGTGGTCATTGCTCACGATTTCAGACAGGAGAAAAATGAGGTGAGGGCAGTGACGATGAATACTTTCAAGCACACCCAATGGTCCACCTTTGAGAAGGCGGGCCTGGTCATGATTTGTGGAATGATGGATAAGACCCCAGAGATTCAGGAGAAAGATTGGAAGAGCTTGGTGAAGTTCCTGGAGGACGCTTCTAAGTCAACTCCCACAATTGGTGAGTAAGACATATCTTGAATTGTTCGTTTTGCGAAGTGATGGCATTTTTATTACTACGTGTAAAAGGGATGTCACACACAGAGAGCTACCAAATGGTATTGCTATTCCATATTGCATACTGCTATTTGAGAGTAATAATGAAGGCGTCATGAAGTTATAGTTTGCTTTACTCTGATTGATATCAAGCCTATTTCACCTTTAACCAGGTTTATACAATAAGCTATGTGTGTTTCTGAGTAACAAATACTCACCGTTCCATTATCTATAACTATCTGTGATGTTATTGATCCTGTAATCCTCTTGATTTACGTCAGATACTATTTCTCACATAATTATGTCACAAGCGTAAAACATCTTTAAATCACGTACATGGCATATAGCCATTTTTAAGACAATCTTCTTGTCGCTGCATAATTGAATTGATGTAATTTTAAATATATATATATATATATATATATATTTATTTATGTATTTAAAACCATTAACAAACATTCATTTATTCTGACAACAGCTGATATCAGTCAAACAACGCTTCCCAAAATAAACACTTCTGACACCAAACAAAAACTAAACAAATCTGAAAAAGATAAGAAAGGTATGAATATCTTTGGCACGACATCATCAGGTGGCCCTGTTGGGATGGTAACGGGATCCCACAAGCCCGCCATCTATATCTGCACCTCGTGGGGGCTAGACAGTGTTAAAGGACTCAAGGAAAAGTTACAAACTTTGTTAAAGCAATCGTTCTCAAGGTATGAGATCAAGGAGCAAGTGCTGCCTTACAGTCGCCCGGAGGATTTCAAGTTTCCCCCGGAGGTGGATAAAACTGATGCCATGATTCTCTGCCATTCGGTGCAGAACAGGGGTTTCTCCATCACGGATGTTCAAAACTCAATCTACGACGAGTTCCTGAAGTACTGCAATCGAGTCTTTGGTAAGTGAAAATCTGGTATTTTGGGGTATAACTATTTGATAACACTATAGCTCGAATTATCTTTCATTCAAATTGATAGATTTATCTTACTCGATTGGTTGCATAATTTTTATGCCTCCGCCACCGAAGGTGGTGCCGGAGGCATCATGTTTTCGGGTTGTCCGTCCGTACGTCCGTCCGTACGTCCGTCCGTCCGTCCGTACGTCCGTCCGTCCGTCCCGTTTGACCGTTATCACAATATCTCAAGAACCATTTAAGATTTAAACTTAAGACTCGGGAATAGTATTTATCACCATAGGAAGACGATCTGATTAGATTTTGGAGTACGTAGGTCAAAGGTCACAGGTCACAGAGGTCAACTTATGAAATTCCTTGTATTGAGTTTGTTAGCGCGATATCTCAAGAACCATTTGAGATTTAAACTTAAAACTTAAGGATAGTATGTATCACCATAGGAAGACGATCTGATTAGATTTTGGAGCACGTATGTCAAAGGTCAAGGGTCACAGAGGTCAACTTATGAAATTCCATACATTGAGATTGTTATCATGATATCTCAAGAACCACTGGAGATTTAAACTTCAAACTTAGTGATAGTGTGTATCACTATAGGAAAACAATCTGATTACATTTTGGAGCACGTAGGTCAAAGGTCAAAGGTCACAGGGCTCATTATGTATGCAAAAACAGCTTGTGATCGCGTTATCTGAACAACCGATGGATGGATTCCTGCCAAACTTTGGTCATGTATGTATCTTGCAGAGCTGATGAACTGATTAGATTTTGGGGTCACGAGGTCAAAGGTCACAGGGCTCATTATGTATGCAAAAACAGCTTGTGATCGCGTTATCTGAAGAACCGATTGATGGATTCCTGCCAAACTTTGGTTATGTATGTATCTTGCAAAGCCAATGAACTGATTAGATTTTGGGGTCACGAGGTCAAAGGTCACAGCGCACATTATGTATGCAAAAACAGCTCGTGATCGCGTTATCTGAACAACCGATTGATGGATTCCTGCCAAACTTTGGTCATGTATGTTACTTGCAGAGCTGTTGAACTGATTAGATTTTGGGGTCATGAGGTAAAGGTCAAGGTCATGCGGCTCATTATGTATGCAAAAATAGCTTGTGATCGTATTATCATTAGAACAGATTGATGGATTCCTGCCAAACTTAGATCATTTATGTATCTTGCAGAGCCAATGAATGGTTCATAAGATCAAAGGTCATGGGCTCATTATGTATGCAAAAATAGCTTGTGGACGCATTCTCATTAGAACTGACAGATGGATTACTATTTAACTCAGGAAATCTTGCAGAGCCAATGAACTGAGTAGATTTTAGGGTCATGAGGTCAAAGATCAAAGGGTCATATATGTTTATGAGAAATTGCTTGTAATCACGATATTCTGAGAACATGTTAATGGATTACAATTGAACTTGAATTTGAAAAATTTCTTCCGTTTCGGTTTGTAAAATTGCTCTATGACGGAGGCATCATTTTCGACTGCGCGCAGTCGAATTCCATCTAGTTTTTGTATGCCTTGACTGGTTGACTGATTGGTGGGTTGTATGACTGAGTCATTGAATGTTCGCTTTATTCAATGATTCGGTGAGTGACTGATTGAATGGGTAGGCCTATTATTGTTTGCAGTATGAATGGTTGATTGATTGTGTGATGTATTGTATGAGCGCTTGATTGTGTAAGCGATTGAGTGTGTGAGTGATTGATTGTGTGAGTGGTTGATTGTGTGAGTGATTGGTTGTGTTAGTGATTGATTGTGTGAGTGATTGGTTGTGTAAGTGATTGATTGTGTAAGCGATTGATGGTGTGCGTGGTTGATTGTGTGAGTGATTGATTGTGTAAGCGATTGGTTGTGTGAGTGGTTGATTGTGTGAGTGATTGATTGATTGTGTGAGTGATTGATTGTGTGAGTGGTTGATTGTGTGAGTGATTGATTGTGTAAGCGATTTGTTGTGTGAGTGATTGATTGTGTAAGCGATTGATTGTGTGAGTGGTTGATTGTGTGAGTGATTGATTGTGTGAGTGATTGATTGTGTGAGTGATTGCTTGTGTGATTGATTGGTTGTGTGAGCGATTGATTGTGTGTGCGATTGCTTGTGTGAGTGATTGATTGTGTGACTGATTGATTGTGTGAGTGATTGATTGTATGAGCGCTTGATTGTGTAAGCGATTGATTGTGTGTGCGATTGCTTGTGTGAGTGATTGCTTGTGTGAGTGATTGATTGTGTAAGCGATTGATTGTGTGAGTGATTGATTGTGTGAGTGATTGCTTGTGTGATTGATTGGTTGTGTGAGCGATTGATTGTGTGTGCGATTGCTTGTGTGAGTGATTGATTGTGTGACTGATTGATTGTGTGAGTGATTGATTGTATGATCGCTTGATTGTGTAAGCGATTGATTGTATGTGCGATTGCTTGTGTGAGTGATTGCTTGTGTGAGTGATTGATTGTGTAAGCGATTGATTGTGTGAGTGATTGATTGTGTAAGCGATTGATTGTGTGAGTGATTGATTGTGTAAGCGATTGATTGTGTGAGCGATTGATTGTATGAGCGATTGATTGTGTGAGTGATTGATTGTGTAAGCGATTGATTGTGTGAGCGATTGATTGTATGAGCGATTGATTGTGTGAGTGATTGATTGTGTAAGCGATTGATTGTATGAGTGAGTGATTGATTGTGTGAGTGATTGATTGTGTGAGTGATTGAATAAATTCAAAGTTATTGTAGAGGTATGTTTTGTATTTTTTAAATTTGGGGCCACATTTGCCGCATGATACTGTGTGCTTGTGTAATTGATTAAGGAGATAATTATTTGAAAACTTTTATCAATTACGTGATGGGTTTATCATGATATGAATTCATTATTTATATACGTGACTGATGGATGTTTAGTGATTTTGATCCAGAAATCTTCAAATCGTCCCTTTTATCATCGTCAAACGTTTCTTTTTATTTCAGACCCAGTATCATCTAAATCTAGTACTAACCATCGACGGACAATATTCAAGTCATTTTGTACGTTTCATTTATTCTATTCTTCAGGGAGAAGTCGCATGGCTGTGATTGTACACGATTTCGAGTACAAGCCTGAAATCCTAAAAATCCAGCTTGAGACAATTCACCGAACCCAGCCGACGACTTATGAATTGGCAGACTGTGTAGCTGTGGCAGGACGGCTCAACGTTCCCGATGTCCAACTCTTTCACGATAAGTCGACAAGTTTAGAGACGTTTGTCAGGAGATTACGCTAAATACGATCGCAAAGACTTTCGAGAAAACAACCCAAGGCAATTTCAAAAAGATATTATACATCCCAAATTGAACAAGATCGGATTACGCTACATCACTGTAATGTTCGGACATTTAAATAGATGAAGGTAAGGGCCACTGAAAATTGCCTTATGATTTTGCAAAATTCTTATTAAACTGCCCCATTGTTGAGGTATCAACTTCATGAATATGTAATTGCTTCCATGAAGTGCGTCGAACCGGACTTGATCATTTATCATGATTAATCTGCCGTGAAACACTGAAAATGAACAGGTTAATATATATGGTCAGCAAATTAGCCAGTGGAGCTGATGATATCATAGAATTATATTCATATAACATTGGGATCAATTATCGTTTGATGAATCTCCTTGAAACTGATGGATTTATCAAGTTTGGACCCCCTACATGATTACAGAAATTGATTTCATTTCTAGTGATAGAAGATTAAAACGTTTTTCAGTCTCCTCCTCCCCACCCCCCCCCCCCCCCTCCCTCCTCTCTTTCTGTCTTATATAAAGTTCTGCTGTCCTGCAGTACAAGAAATGAACACATTTACTGTATGAATACAAAAATATGCTTGTCCATTAATGGAAAAAGCGATCATACGAATATTTCTCATAAATTATGTTCCCACATAATCTAAGAAAACGGATAGTTCAATATATACAATTTTCACCAAACAATAACATGTTTATTATAAGCCATTTGATGTGATTTTTGGCTGAGCGTGCAAATGTATATTTGTCCGTTGTTATTTCATGCTCGAGTTGGTTGGTTCAACTTGGTTGTATAAATACGTTTGTTTTAACAAAATAAAAATTGCATCAGGTGATTTTTTTTCGGACATATATCTCATATTTGTTGTCATATTCAATCGCATACATTGTAAATATATGTAAATATGTTTCCATTGACAAAAAATGAAACTTATTTAGTGTCTTGATAGAATTGCTGCTGGAGTATGAAAATAACTTCAATATTAGGACCTATTTCAAATGCAGGACATGATACAACATAATAAATATCATGGTGAAATATCAGTGGAACTCAAGAGCGATACCAATTAATGTTTGCTTATCTTAAAGAAATAATGTTCGGATGCCGTAACGTTATTGTAATTTTCACACATCTGAAGGTTGAAGTCTATATTAACTGCCTTTTAGAAAGTCTGTGCGATCATGTTTTCGGGAAACGCGAACAAATTGAGAACATTTTATAGGAGAAATCAATTAAATGAAATAGGTTTGTAGTGAAAATGTAGTGACATAAGAATAATCATTATAAAATAATCAAGAATCGTTGTGCCTTAATGATTTGACCTGAGCCAGCAACTGATGCTTTATAAGTATTAGTAGTAGTGAAAGTAGCAGTAGAAAATGCCGCAGTAGTAATAGTAGAAGTAGTAGTAGTAGCAGCAGCAGCGGTAGGTGTAATGTTTAGTAAATTCATTAGGATTTTTAATTATATTCAATATCATTTCATAAATATTATGATTACTTCAGAATCTCAGATAAGGGTACATTTTTACTCCCCTACCCATACTCGCACCCCTATTCCCTTATAAATGAATGTGTTTAACCAATGAACTGATGAACCTCTATTGCTATGCACGACAATTTTTTTCAAAGAACCGGATATAGGAGGCCTATATCCAAGTAACGCTAATCATTGAGGATCTTCATGGATCTTGTCTCAAAATGTCGCTAATCTTAGAAAATTCTGGTTCGTGATATGTCCGATAAATTTCCCCTTATGTCCTGAATATATTTACATTATTATTTGCGAAAATTTCAAAACGGTTATTCTTACAATGTACATCCATATTTGTAGACCAATCGGTATTATTAATATGCTGAAAACTTATAAAAGGCATTGTATGTATATAATTTAGGCATGAAATTATTTTATGCTGGACGTTGAAAAATCAAAAGTTCAATCCTTCTTGTAGGATTTATTATTATTTTATTTCATTCATTGAACAATTAAATTCATGAAATTATGTAATCGGGATTAGTTGGAACGATGAGTCTTTCACAGTTTTGAATTGTAAAATCGTACATTACATTTGATATTCATTTTATCCATCTAAGGAACTAACACTTCAACAAGCTCTGCTTCTAGTTAGTTCCTCTTTCCTCGTGCTAATTCGATTATATTTGTCGTTTCATTGCATATTTTTTTTGTAATATACTTATTCATTGTATTATGTTTTGCATGAGAAATAAAACCATTTGAAAATATTTGAAAATTAATGTTGTATGATTTTCGAGGAAGGCACACATCAAAGTTGGTAATTATTTTGTAAATATCTTCGTTCGTATAGGACTATATACTTCAAGTTCTGTCTAAGGTTACAAGCAGGAGAGTACGCAAGGGGGGTCGAACCCCCCTCCCCCCTTAATTTTTTTTTTAATGAAAAAATTCGCTCTTACCCCCCCCCCCCCCTTACCCCACTTATTCAGCGGTTGGCTGAGTCTTTGCGAAATTTTCAGTGCGTTTTTCAAATTTTAACCCCCCCCCCCCCCCTCGAAAAAAATCCTGCGTACGCCCCTGGTTACAAGTATTGTGGGGAATAGGTGGATCTCAGATATGACATGTTTTTGAAAAAGTACAAGGAAGAGGTAGCCTAAATCAAGTTAAAGTCGATTTCAGTTGATGAATACCATACGTGTATGCTATGCTGTTCCTAATGATTTGTTATACATTAAAATGGGCTACATATTATATGTACATACTTATTTTTGTATCAGCGCTCTGATCACTTTCAGCGAAAAGAACCAATTATTATTATCATTATTGTAGTTTTTATTATTATTGTCATTATTAATATTATTATCATTATCATTATTATTAGTATTATTATAATTACTATTAGTAGTAGTAGTATTAGTATTATTATTATTATTTATTATGCCATGGTTATAAATATTTTTCTTTGAAAGTACAATGTCATGCCCATTATTGTATTAACTCAGAGTTGTTTACAATTCAAAGCAAATGAATGTTGGAAATGAGACATTGACAAAATAATGTATGTATGTATAATGTATAATATAAAAGCTAATTCCAGTACTCATTATGAAAAAACAATGTGGCTGTGTAAATTGTGTGTATGTTAATGGCAGTTATATATCAATTTAGAAAGGGCGAAAAGGCAAATTCTTTCATTTTTCTACCAATTATAATGGTTAAAAAATAGGAAGAAAATAGAAATAATAGAAGATTAAAAAGATGCGAAGGAGCGCTAATAGTGATCTTCTATCTGCACGTGTCGAAAACAAGTCCTTATAATATACACACATTATGTACATGTATTTACTTTAATTATCCATCTTACAATTTATATTTGCTACTTCTGTACATTTTAATAGCCAACCTTTGATTCTAAAATATGTGCTTTCAGGCCAAGACTATTACTGCCTTGAAACATTAAAGTTTGTCAAATGATCCTTCATTGATTTTTCAATCATTATTGTATTTCCGTTCTGTTAAACATGTTATGTTTATATTATTGCTTATAGTTTATCGCTACCTTAATAAAACTCTGCCACTTAAAACGTATTATTATATTCTTTTAACAGATTATCAAGTTAAATGTGATGGATGATATATGTTTTAAATCGTTTACGTTTAGTTTTGAGTTTGTTTTATTAGTACTATGTTCATGCTAGTGTTACCCTATACGCTGTCGTAAATTATGTGAACCATGTATGCCGAAAACCTCGTGTAAATTTACTGTAAAAAATAATTAGCGTCCGGTACGCTCCTAAGACGTTAATTTTAGTGTGTAAAGACACTATGTCCCTTTTGCAGCCAACATCAAATTATGTAGAACTTTGCAGGAATAATGAAGTTGTCATTTATGTCCTATCTGTGAAATGTAAACATTAGCAGTGTCCTAGTATTCAAATTATGCAAGGAAACCAGTTTACCTTCTAGACTTTACTGTCAGACACTATTGAGTGACTGACATTTTTTTCTTTGGTAATACATTGTAACATACATAAAATGAGATGTAACAGGTACATAAGCATTATTTTGTCTACATCAGTAACCCACCACTTGTCATGGCCAAAATTAAACTGATTGAATTGTTTGCAGCACAAAACGTACGACCATTCGGTAAAATGGTCTGAAAATCAAACTATTCGACAACTAATAATTGTTATTTTCCCACTAAAAGCCAATTTCAATCCCTTTCGTTTTGAGGGAAGTTCTAATTTAGTATTGTCTTTCAAATGCCGTTGGAATTTTACCTTTTCATTGTTTTGGCTTGCAAATGGGACATAGTACCTTTAACATAGAGTAATACGGTCAGAGAGTATAACATCGATAGCAAAAAGGCTTCAAAATACCAATATAAATAAATGGCGTGGGTTCAAGAGCTTCTTGTGGGGTTTTTTTTATCCTCGCAGTCATAAAAACCGAATTGTGATTTTGTACAATAACTGGGATCGAATATCAAACAAAACTTATGATGGGGAAGGTGCTACATTGCTCCATTCTTTGATAGGTGGTAGCAAGTGATAATGCTACCACCAGTTTTCCCGTGTTTTTAAAATAGTTAGCAGAAAGATTCCAATTGAGAACAAGGAGGAGTGGGGCGGGGTGGGGGCGGGGGGTTAAAGCAAAAGTGTCAACATATTGACAGGAATCATTAACGTTCAGTATAGATCTTTAATATCCATTTGGATTAATAATGCCCCCATTCCCTCTTCCCCTCCCGGTAAGACTGCTCTCTTTCAATAACAGTGATATGACTACTATAAAGGAATGTTGAAATATATTTTATACGGAGGGTTTACGGTTTCTTTCTGTAAATAACCAGAATTTGTCATTCGAACTTAAATTACAGATCATTTTTTCGTCATTATTTATCTTTTGCGTCATTTTTGCAGCAAATAAATGCAATTTTTCTTGATTAACATTTCTTAATCGTGTTAATGACTATAATTATTTCGGTTAGCAGATTGAATCCAAGCAGCAAACCTATACAGCAGCTTCAGTCACGAGAAATTGATCTTTTTCACGGTATGGTCCTTCATGATTTTAATCAATTACCATAATGATAAAACATAATTTCACGAAACTGCATTGAAATCATATGATTTATACTGGCAAATATTATAACGGATTTCATCGCCATGACGATCAACGGTCCTTACAATCACTGATTGGACATGGCATTCTCTCCCTCTCTCTCTCTCTCTCTCTCCCCCCTCCCCCTCACTCTCTGTCTATATTCATCTTTTTTTCTTTCTGTTTTCTCTCCCCCTCCTATAACGATCTCTCCTTTTCCATCATTCTGATACACTCTCTCTGTTCATGTCTCTCTCTCTCTCTCCCTCTCTCTCTTCACGTCTTGCTTATACCCTTCCTCTATAATTTTCTCTACATCTTTACTCGTTCTCTCTCCCCCAACCCCTTATCCTTCTGTTCTCCCGCCTCTCTTCTCCTTTACCCCCCCCCCCCCCCGT